TATTAAAGATCACTAACTATATGAACATCTATAGCCCAAAGGGAAAATTACAAGATGAAGAAAAAATTCCTTGAAGACACAAGTTACAAAAAGCCGAGAGAAAGAAAAAAAAAAAACAACTAACCATTTCTATATCTATTCAAGAAACTGAATTCATTATTAAACACTTTCCCATTAAAACATTCCATGCCAGATGTCCTAACAATTGAGTTTTTAAAATGCTAGAGGAAGAAATCATATCAATCTTCAACAATTACTTTCATAAAAAATGAGAAAGAGGAAGCATGTTCTAACTCGTTTTATAAAGCCAGTTTAGTATTGCTACCAACACTTAGAGAGAATATTTAGAGTGGAAAGTAGTAGATTCCTGTCATGAACAAAGATAAAAAAATTCAATAAAATATTAGAAAATTAATTCCAGCAACTTCTAAAAAGTATAAGACATCATGACCAATAAGGTTGTTTTCAAGAACCTCAAAGAGGTTTTACATTCATAAATCAATGGCTAGAATTTACCACATTCACACAAAATAAGGAAAACCATGCAATCATTTTAATTAGTGCAAAGAAAGCACTTAACTATATTCAGTGCCTGCTTATAATAAAAGCTTCAACTGAGAATAAAGAGAGAAATTTTCAATCCTGATTAAGAAAGCAAAAAAAATCCTATGACATTGTGTTTAATGACAAGCATTGAAAGCTTTCTACAGAGACACAGAATAAGATAATGCTTTCCATTATCAGAACCTTCATTTTAACATTGTGTTGGAGGTCCTAGTCTGTGCAACAGTATGAAACAAAAACAAAACAAAACATTCTTAAAAGTATAAGGATTACAAAGAGATAAGCTGCCTCTATTCAATGACATAATTTTATGTGTTAAAAACACAAAAGAGTCAATAAACGTTATTAATAAGTAAATTTAGTGAGGTGATCATGACGTACTAAATATACAATATCAATTATATCTTTATAGTCTATCACAAAGAAAGAACAAAATTTACAAATAATTCCATTCTTATTAGGGTCAAAACATTAAATATCTGTGATGAAATCTGATAAATCATATGCAAGACTTCTGGACTGACAACTGCATAATGTTATTAAATAATTCATTAAAGAGATATAAATTAATGAAGATATATCTTATGTTATCCTATTAGATAATTAAATATGACAATGATGTTAATTTTTCTACAAATTAACGCTGAAGACAGGGAAGTCGTTTTTTTTTTTTTTTTTTTTTTTTTTTTTTTTTTTTTTTTGCGGAACCGGGGATTGAACTTAGGCCTTTGCACTTGCCAGGGTAGTGCTTATTCCACTGAGCCATCTCCCCGGCCCAATTTTTCTACAAATTAAGCATAATTTCAATCACTATTCTGGATGAATTCATACAAAATTGATCTGATACCTCTAAAGCTTATTGAATGAATGAAAAACATCCAAGGCATACTTGGATAAGAAGAAAAAAAGTTGTAGCATTTATAGAGCCAAATCCCAATTTTTAAAAATAAAAATGAACGTACATACACATGCATGTATAGAATTAATGTTATCCAGTCATAAAAAGAAATAAAGTCTGATACATGGTAGAACATGGTTAAACCTTGAAAACATGCTAAATAAACTAAGCCAGGCATGAATGCACAAATATCATGAAGTTCATTTATGTGAAATATCTAGAACAGGAAAATTCATAAACATAGAGGTTGCTAGAGGTTGGAGGCACAGAGATGAGGAGCTAGGATTTAACAGTTATGGATGTTTGTTTGCAGTGAGAGAAAATTTTGAAAATACATGTTGATGATGGTTACAATCCATACCACTGAATGATATATACACTCCAATGTCATTAAGATGAAAAATTTACATATATGTATATATACAATTAAAGATTAAATAATATACAAAAACATTGAATTGTATATTTTAAATGTGTGAATTTGATAGTATATTAATTATATTTCAATAAATCTGTTGTAATTATGCCATCTGTTACTGGTTGAATTAGAGACACAATCAAATGTAATAGGAAGGGATCTGCAGATTGGCGTGACTATGTAGTGGGAAATTATTCCTTTTCAAAGTATTAATAAACTTTATTTTAGGGCTGGAGATATAGCTCAGTGGCATAGTGCCTTGCTGGCAGCGTGAGGTCCTGAATTCAATTCCCAGTATCAAATAATAGTAATACTAATACTACTACTACTACTAATAATAATAATATAAACACTTTTAGGATTAATTTGAAAGTATCCTAAGTGGAAAAGTAAAGACTTACAGGCAAAGTGAGTAGATACATTTTTAAAAAATAACAACCTTTTTAAGTATTATAGATACAGCTAAGCGATTTTGACTTACATCATTTGTTGAACTAGATCACCTCTATCTTGCTTAAATACTAACGATATACAGTTGATCACTGAAGTAAGTACTTCACTTTTCAGTCCAATTTTTCAGAATAATTAATACAGAAAATAGTGGCATTAATACAAAACTACCCATGAGCTCTTTTCTGTTTGCAACAAAATATAAAGCTAAATCAAATGGTCAGGTAATTAAACACAAAACAAAATTCCACACACCAGCTTTATATCCCACCAATAACACACCTAGGAAACAAAATAAATATAAATACTTAGACCATTTAACACATATGACAGAGGAGATGGTTAATGTCTAACCTTTATCCACTGGAGGTTTGTGTGTTGAAGTTTATTTTCAAGTTTATCTTGTTCTTCTGGGCTTATGGGAGCACTTACAAGTGCTGTTCCTCTGGTTTCATTTAATTGTTTAAGAATTCCCTGGCGCAGGGGCAGCTCTTCTGCCAGTAACTGGAACAGACAAAGGCAGTAATGTTGAAAATGAATTACAACACAATTGCAACTGCTTGTCTTCACCTTTATTGATTAGTTTATCAGAATGAACAGCCTCGACCAAAGGCCCACTGGCACCTCAAATGCCGCCAGTTTGCTACAGAACACAGAGCTGGGGACTGAGTTGCCTATTCCCACATAGACCAGCCTTTCTATATGTAAACAGATTATGTTATCCTGCAGACTTTTTCTATTTGTAAAAATAAAAATGTTAGGTGGTATGATGAGCTGTAAACAAACACCCTGAACAGTTATTCTGAACACTCATATCTATCAGAAATATAAGAATCTGAATAAATTTACAAACTTACAGGTACCACAGTCAGTCACAGTATACCATGAATGACACTGAGCAAGAAACTGCACTCTCAGTATACACAGGGCTAAGCAATGCTTTAGGCTTTTCCTATAGATTTTGTATGTTTCTGTTAAGATTGTTGTAGTTTTAGAAGGTAATTCCTAATAACTTCATTTTATAGAGAAGAAACCTGGCCCAGGGAGGTTAAATAATAGCCCTAAAGACACAAAGCTAGCAAAAAACAGAGCAGTGATTCAAACACAAGGTTTCATTCTGGAATTCTTACTTTTCAGCATCCCATAGTTTATGCCTTTGCCAAAATCTACATAACCATCATGATGCTAATAATTGTGTTTTATTTATTTTGTCTCCAGATGCAGTGTGCAATTCAGTAGCCCCTTGCCATATGATGTGATTTAAGTTAATTAAAGTTAAATTTAAGATAATTAAAACTCAGTGAAACAAAATAAACTATTTCCTCACTCACACTAGACCTTTTACCAAAGGAACATTTGGCTTGTGGTTATGGAAATGGGTAACAGAGCATTGGCAGCGCCATAGACAGCTGTATTGGACAATACTTTGTAGGTTGTCTAAGAGGAATAGAACATGAATACATATTCATTAATAAATGAATGCTTCTACTTATATTTACAAAATGAATTATCAATTGCATTGCTACATATGACACTCAGTATACTTAGGATGCTTGAATTTCCAAGATCAGACTCAGTTTAGTTTTATAGAGTATAATAATCTTCAAATAGTTCACAAAGAATGGTTTTGCAGTGTTGAATATGTAGTATAATGTCTGATGTATAGAAGGTGCTCAGTATTTGTTTATTACATAAGCAATGTTTTATACTATATTTTCTGGCAGGTGGTAAATTTTTATTTCATTGTAATAATCAGTTGAAATTAGATTCTAATTCACATGATTAAACTGAGTGATTCATTGATAAATAAGAAATTCTATTTCTGTTTGATTATACAACCTTGCAAAGTAATACCAGAAATCATTTTTGAGAGATTAATATGAAGATCAAATAAGATTGCAATTGTAAGTGCATCTAAATGTTTGGCCCCAAATAGGGAATGAGTAAATATTAATGCCCCTTCCCTTTTACCTTTTCCTCAAGAAGGAGAATTAAACACATCCAAAAGAGTTGCTTGACCCAAATTAGAATTATAAAAATTAATCCAACTGCACAATCAAACCCCCTCAGTCAGTCCTGTGAGGTAATCAGCCAGAAGTAGACATCATGATAATAGAATATGAAAGGTCACTTGAGTAAGTTGAATATCTACTCAACCCCAGTGGAATCTGAAACAACCCCTCTTCTCCCCACCCTCAGACCTAAGACACCAAAACAAAAGATAGCTGCAGGCAAATGGAACACCTTTGATCAGCGACTGAAGTAGAGTTACTGCTTCTACAATTAAGGCTTTCTCTTAGAAATGAGATATTTTGCTACAAACACTCGCCTCAAATTGTCACATGCATAGCCCAATATAGATTGAATAGTAATTCCCATTTATATTTATATTTTAGGATTCAACCATTTTTCTTTTCAGAAAATTCTGCTCTGAGTTCCTCTATAACTTTCTGCTGTTGCTGATTTACTATCAATGCTATTAATTTGTACATTTAAGCTGAGCTAGTAGAAAATAATTCCATTCTGAGTTCCTCTATGACTTTCTGCTGTTGCTTATTTACTATCGACGCTATTAATTCATACATTTGAGCTGAGCTAGTGTCCTCTGCACTTGTTCTGGGTGGGCATTGGGTTTCCTCCATATGTTTCTGCATTTGATTTGTTACTGCAGCTGTTATTAATCCAGGGATTTCTTTTTTCATTTCCAATCTGAGTTCCTCTATACCTTTCTGCAGCTGTTTCTTTATTTCAGAAGCCATTGATTCATTGCTTTCAGCTGTATGATTCCCAATTTGTTCTGTGTTAGTGTCCTCTGCACTTGTTATGGGTGGGCTTGGGTTCTGAGATTGTATTTTGCTCCTTCTCGTTGTCATTTTCTGTAGCACTGTCTTCTGACCTTTGTTGTAGAGCTTTGGTGCAGTTATAACCTTAGCACCTACTGAAGTTCAGCTGTAGATCTACAAAGTTTGGATTTATCCAGCTGTGCCTGGCTTGGGTCTGGCTGTTGTGCTCAGCTCCTTCCTGCTGCTGCCCTTGAGGGTGAACCTGTTGTGCCCCTCTGGCAAGATGTACTGCTCCTGGACTAGCTGGGTGGTTCTAGCCCCTACTCTCTCTGCAGGGACTGCAGCTGCAGAGTTTCACCTCAGGCCTGTATGCCAGGCTTGAGCTGAGTCTGGAGGGGACAAGGTGGAGTAAGGGAGAGAGGAAGCTCTCCCACACCCTCACCGGGCCTGGGCTAGGACTGGATCTGGGGGTCCCTAGAAGGCGGCAGAAATTCTCACGTGGTGGGTGGGGTGGGGGGTGCTGTGGAGTAGTGGAGGGGTCTCAAGGGGGTGGAAGAGGGTCTCACCCACGCTGTGTTTGGGCTGGGACTGGTAGGTCCTGCCAGCACAGGGTAGCGGGAGGCTCTCCCACACATTCACTGGGCCTGGGCTAGGACTGCATCTGGGGGTTCCCAGAATATGGCAGAAATTCCTATTCAGCAGGCAGGGTGGGGGGTCTGTAGAGTGGTGGGGGGCATCCCAAAGGGGTGGAAGAGGGGCTCACCCATGCTGCACCTGGGCTGGGACCATCAGGTCCCATCGGTGCAGCGTAGCCACTCAACTATTTTTTAAAGTATTTGAAATTATTTAAAGCTATGAAATTCTAGAATTAATTTAAAATTAGTTTTAAAATTAACCGCTATTCTCTGACAGATGCAATATATAAGTAATATATACATCTATGTATGCATATATACCTACATATACAAACATACATATATGTATCTACACATACATATGTACAATGGTAGAAGCCATAGGCTTAAGACAAAATAAAGCTGTGAGAAAAAAGTTTAGTAAGAAATTATAAATAATACAATGGGCAGGAAATCAATGATTAAATACATCTTAGAAATAGATTTTATACAAGTAGGCCCTGGAGGAATTTAGAAAATAAAATTACCTTGACTTGTTCAAGCTTTTCTGTTAGCTGCTGCTCATTTCCAAGTTCAAGGGGAATAGTACTAATGTTATCCACTTCTTCCAACCATAAAACAAATTCATTTAAATCTCTTTGAAATTCTGATACTATATTCTTTTGTTCTTCTTGCCTGGAGAAAGAAAAATAAAATTGTTTTAATGACATATTTCTCAAGTTTTTTAAATAAATATGCTGGAAAGAATATGGGAAACACTTTAAAATTCAACATTTGAAAAGGTGTCAACAATGTATAATTCATTTTAAGAAAATTCATTCACTTTGAACAAAGTAATTTCAACCTTTCAAAAGTCTCTGAAAGATAATGGATCAATACTGGTCAAGAAAATCTCTGTTTAAAAATTCCACAACATTCTATTATTGCTTTAGAGCTAGTTTGCCAGACCTAAGCACTATTGATATTTAAGGATAGAGGATTCTGTGCCATTAGGTGCTGCTCTGTGCACTGTGTATCCAGCAGCATTATGGGACTGTATATACTACCTGCCAATAGCAACTTCTCATGGGGGTGACAGCCAATCATGTACTGTGGCATCACCTAATACCCTCCAGGGCATGATTGTCACTGTATGGAAACAACTGCACTAGGATAAGTATGTGACATGAACTGTCATGATTGAAGATGTGGAATTAAAGCATACTTTTGGGAAATAAAAGGACAAAGAAAAAATGGTTTAAAATGAAACACTGAAGGATTACATGATAAAAGGTTTTCCAAAGTATGACTCAAAAGATATTTTTGAGGAAAGATAAGGTCTAATTTATATGATTTAACATATGTTGTACTAGGGAAAATTTTTAATTGTAAAAGTTCATATAATATGTGCTATTCAATTAGTCATAATTTTATTCTCATTTTGTCTTTTTACTATTTTTTATTAATTTTACTGAGAAACAGCAATGAGACAGTTTCAAAACTGATTAGTAGAACAGTTTCAATAATTAATACATTGCATATTGTTGTCTTCATAATGGTTATTCATACAACAAGATGCAGACATGAAATACCATCCAAACACTATTAGTACAAATTGTTTTTCTCATTGAATTAAGAGAAAGTAGCTGTATATCTATCCTAACTATTTTGTGTGTACAGATACAAAATGGTCCTTCATTTATATCCCCTTTTTTGTTTAGTTTTGTCAGAGATGGGTATTCCCTTGCCATTTAAATATTGTAGGTGCGTGAATTCAGCAAAATAATTCAATATAGTCCAGTAGTCCATAATACTAGTGGGTTATCCATAGGACTGGCAATTTCAGAAGTTGTTGACTTGAGCCTTTTATAGCTCAGCATATTAATAGGGCTTTACTTTTGATACCTCGTTTTTATACTTTTCTGCTGGATGGTTAAGACCAAGCTAAAGCAAGACCTATACAACAAGAAATGTAACTTATGTATCTGACAAGGTCAGTCAAATCCCCTCAGAATTTACCCTGAAACCTTGCACTAAAATTTATAGATCCTTTGTCAGTGTCAGCCATGTGGTTGAGTCACAACCATTGCTTGGCCAATGTGCTCTCTGTGAAAGCCTGCCAGAATGTTTTCTCTTCATGTGACTCCCCTTAGGCACACTCTATATCATCGATCCCTTCCCTCTTTGGCCCCATAATCTCCTTGACCAGAAAATTTGGGACACAACTGAGTTACAGGATGTTACAATACAGGTTCTTTTATGTCTTGAGATCTCATTGACCTTGAAGGGCTAGGGCCAAAATGTTGGCTGTTCTTGCAGCCCTTCTTTTTCTCTAATTTTTGGTCTGCAAACTTAAGTTGTTAACCCTCCAGAAGGGAAGCTTAATGATATTATCACCCTATAACATAGGCAGTTGAGCTTGACCTCACTATCTGTCTGAATATTAAACATCTTAGGGATAACATGGAACAGGTATTTTCCATCAAGTATTGATATGTTAAACTTCAAATTCCTACAGAATGTGAAGAAAAAATATTTAAAAATTAGGAATAAAAAATTATTCTCACATGTTGGATAAGATTACGAGTGAACAAAATGGTTCACACTTAAAATAATCTGTATTTTTTTGTTTTGTTGTCTTTTGGGAGACATGCAAGCATTGAAGTGGACTATAAAATGCATACAGGAAGTGTACATACAACTGCACAGCTCAATGGAATTTTAAAAATTAGATATACCATATAACTAAGGAAAAGGAATAACAAGGGGAAAATTTCAGCAGCATGATAGACTCTCCCTCTGGCTGGTTTATAATCTCTGCCTCCATGCACTAGTAACCTATGTATTTTGGATATTTTGCCTGTATTAAATATTAAGAAAATGAAGCCATATAGTATATATCCTTGTGTTTTGCTTCTTCCACTCAGAATTGTGTTTATAATAATCAATCTTGTATACAGTTTTGATTTGTCCATTTTCCTGGCTGTGTAGCAACCAATAATACAAATATAGGACTATTGATGAACATTTGCATTGCTACTATTTTATATGTTAGCAAGTGATTTTTTTTGTTGTTTATTTGTTGCAAATCAACAAATTCTTCTTGACAATTTACTACCTTCCAGGAAATCTACTGATTAGGGCTAAAGATGGATATTTAGTGTGCCTTTTTAAGAGGCTCTCACAGTCCATGAGAAGACATAAGCATGTGCACAAAGTGTGAGGAGCATTACAGGAAGGTAAGTTACTTCAGGAGCAGGGCTTGGGAGACATCATAGACAAGATCATGCTCTGAATCATGCAAGAAGAGGCGTCCTCATGCTGTTAAGTAAGACACAGTGTGTATAAAGACAAGGCTTTCAGAGAATTACTATTGCACATGCCCCCAAAACAGAATCTGGTTATTACACTTCTGCTTGTCTATATTCAGTTTTGCTATTTGGTGCAAACTTGTTCAAAGCCTGATCTGGGACATGAAAGATGACATTCTGTCTTATTCTTGACACATGAATTAGAAGTGTGCTGTGAAAACCTAAGTTATATTGTGTTACCTCTGCACCTAGAGCTCTTCTGTTATTTTCCAGGTTATGAAGAGTAAAAGTCCGAAACACACATTACATTACTGTTATACAAGGGTCCAGATCTGGACTTTACAGTACAGTGAGTGCTTGAAATGTGACTAGTACAAATTGAGTTGAACTGCGACTGTAAAATGCACATTACATTTCAAAGACAGTACAAAACATAATCTCTATCCTTCTGGCTCAGTTTTGCTGTGAACTTAAAATTGCTCTAAAATAGTCTATTTTAAAAAATTTAAGGAAAGAAAAAATATATCACTAAGACTTTGTATACCATATACATGTTAAAATAATAATTTAAAGCATTGGATTAAAGAAACAAAGTTAATTTCACCTCTGCCTTTTCATTTTTTAATGAGGCAACTAATTATCTATCTATCTATCTGTCTATCTATCTATCTATCTATCTATCTATCTATTTATCTATGTATCTATCATCTATCTTCTTAACCTCTCATCCACATTTTCATCTACTCTATGTTTTATCTTCTTGAGAGCCACTCATCTCCTTGTTGAGCTCCTCAACTGTATGAAATGGTCCTTCACTTCTGAGTCCTTGTATTTGCTCTTTTTTTGGCCAGAAAGCCTTTCCCTTAAATATCAGAGGCAGCTCACTCCCTCACATTCTGAAGCACTTCTTAGATGACTTTCCTAAAATTTATGTTTCCCCTCCATATTTTGATTCTTTCTCCTTATATTTCTCATACTCCTTAGTTTCTGAAATATTAGAATATTATTATATTCTATGATTTGGCCATTTCTTTACTAAATACACAAAAGAAAGAAAGAAAAGAAAGAAAGAAAGAAAAAAGAAAGAAAGAAAGAAAGAAAGAAAGAAAGAAAGAAAGAAAGAAAGAAAGAAAGAAGAAAAAAGAAGGGGCCAGCCAAATAGCTCAGCGGGTTAAAGTACTTGCTCAGGCAGACACAGGGGCTGTGAGTTCCATCCCTGGACCTGCCATGCCGCCCCGTCCCCCTGTGCATGCTGAGACTGCGATTGAGAGGCGATTGATCTACGTCCTATCTACAGAGAGAGACCCTGTACTAAATATAAAAAACACAATAAAAAGATCTTTAGTGTTTTGTCTACTTCTCACATATGAAAGTAAGAACCCTAATGGCAGGTTTTTTTTTTTTAAATTTAGTACAGAGTCTACAGGGTCTCACTGTAGATCGGACTCATAGTGATTCTTCTGTTTTCAGCCTTTCAAGTGCTGGGATTACAGCCACGTGCCACCACACCCAGTCTCTATTGCCCTCTCAGTGCACCCCGAGAGCGCGGTCTGCGGAGCCTGCCGGGGATGGTCCCTGCGTGTGCCTTTAATCTGCTCAACTATAAGGCCAGTCCTAAACTTTTTGTGTGTATTGTTTAAAGCAGTAATTTTTGCTCCTGAAACAATATCTGACACAGAGTAAATATGCAATTAATATATGTTTAATATAGTGAATAACTGCTCCCGTCATTCCTTTTGGTCTTTTATGCATTTCTGTTCTCTTGAATCTTTCCCACTGTTTTCAGATGCTGATTGTGGCCTCATTTACCCCTCAATGTGCACATCAGGATTTCAGATTAAATCTACCTCAATCACAGGTCATTCAGTACCACCCTCCTGAGTATCAGTGGGATGGAGAGTAGGGGTAAAGTGGGGGGTACTGCTGATTAAACTATGATAGTCATCAATTAGAGGTTTTATTTACTAAGAAATTTGTTCTTTTAGGGGCAGCCAAATAGCTCAGTAGATTAAAGCTCCTGCAAGCAGGCACAGGAGCTGGGGTTCCATCCCCAGACCTGCCATGCCTTTTCTGCCCCCGGGGTGCACTGAGACTGCAGTTGAGACTGGGCATGGTGGCCCAAGACTGTAATCTCAGCTCTTGAGAGGCTGTAAAGAGGTACATCCCTATGAGTGCAATCTAGTAGTGAGACCCTGAACACTCTGTAGACCCTTTCCCAAAATACAAAAAAAAAAAAGAAATTTGTTCTTTGAGATATGTTTTTGTCATATGTTCCTTTTGTGTATCCAGAAAAAATTAAATATGAGCAAAGAAGAAAACTCAAAACTCCCAAACAAAAACTGAAGAACAGAAAAGAGCACCATGAAATCATCATTATTATTTTAA